TGCTGCAGTGGTACAATCTCGGCTCACTGCAACCTCTGCCTCCCAGGTCCAAGTTATTCCCCTGCATCAGCCTCCTGAGTAGCTGCGATTACAGGCATGCACAACCACGCCTGGTTAACTTTTTGCATTTTAGTAGAGACAGGGTTTTGCCATGTTGGCCGGGACGGTCTCAATCTCCTGACCTCATGATCCGCCCACCTCAGGCTCCCAAAGTTACAGGAGTGAGCCACTGTGCCTGGCCTGGGCTAAACTTTTAATAAGCAGCCTTAAAATTAGGGACAGGAGATGGGAATGGTGGCTCACGCCTGTAATCCCAGCACTTTGGGAAGCCAAAGCAGGTGGATTACCTGAGGTCAGAAGTTCAAGACCAGTCTGGCCAACATGGTAAAACACTGTCTCTACTAAAAATATAAAAATGTGCCAGGTGTTGTGGCACACACCTGTAGTCCCACTTGGGAGGCTGAGGCAGGAGAATCACTTGAACCTGGGAGGCGGAGGTTGCAGTGGGCCAAGATTCTACCACTTCACTCTAGCCTGGGTGACACAGTGAGACTTCATCTAAAAAAATAAAATAAAATAAACTGGTCACAGAGTATTCCTCTCTGCCTTCCCCAACTCCTTCCTGCCACCTGAAATAGTAATATGATAGCTGGCGATTGGCCGTAATATTGGCTCACTGCAACCTCCACCTCCTGGGTTCAAGCAATTCTCTTGCCTCAGCCTCCCGAGTAGCTGGGATTACAGGCGCATGCCAACATGCCCAGCTAATTTTTGTATTTTTTTTTTTTTTGGGATGGAATTTCGCTCTTGTTACCCAGGCTGGAGTGCAATGGCGCCATCTTGGCTCACCGCAACCTCCGCCTCCTGGGTTCGCGCAATTCTCTTGCCTCAGCCTCCTGAGTAGCTGGGACTACAGGTGCACGCCACCATGCCCAGCTAATTTTTGTATTTTTTTTTTTTTTTTGAGACAGAGTTTCACTCTTGTTACCCAGGCTGGAGTGCAATGGCGCAATCTCAGCTCATTGCAACCTCCACTTCCTGGGTTCAAGCAATTCTCTTGCCTCAGCCTCCTGAGTAGCTGGGACTACCGGCGCACGCCACCATGCCCAGCTTATTTTTTTTTTGTGTGTGTGTGTGTGTGTGTGTGTGTGTGTGTGTGTGTGTATATATATATATATATATTTTTTTTTTTTTTTTTTGAGATGGAGTTTCACTCTTGTTACCCAGGCTGGAGTGCACTGGTGCGATCTCGGCTCACTGCAACCTCTGCCTCCTACGTTCAAGTGATTCTCTTGCCTCGGCCTCCTGAATAGCTGAAATTACAGGCACCCGCCACCATGCCTGACTAATTTTTGTGTTTTTTTAGTAGAGACAGGGTTTTGCCTTGTTGGCCAGGCTGGCCTCAAACTCCTGACCTCAGGTGATCCACCCACCTCGGCCTCCTGCCACATGCTACACCTGCACTGTAGTGCCAAGTGTTCAGACTACAAGCGTGAGCCACTGCATTTTTCAGTGTCATGTATGCAGCGATTCGATTTTTAATTAGAAAAGTTCACCTCAAATCTGGTTTAAAACTAAAATCTGCTACTTGCTTTTCAGTTCACAGGACATAAGCAACCAAGCGCACTGGTGTAGTGTCAGCATACCCTCCTCTAGAAATAATACTTCAGAGACGATGTCAAGCTTCAAGTTGCAGCCGCTCCCCCTTCGCATGGGTGCTGGATGCCCACTCTGAGCCAGCCAGGTCAATCAGGCTCATCTTGGCCACATGGACGGCCTGGGTCAGTCCTGGAACCTGGTCCTGCTGCTTCACAAAGATCTGGAAGATGGCATGGGAGTGGGAGGAAGTTGCCTTGGCATCGGTGGGGTGCTGCGTATGGTTACAGTTCCCCCGGTCAGCATCTCCAGCAGCTGCTCGGCTGAGGCTGGCTAGTGGAAAGAAAGTCCTTGCACCACCACTCCTTTCTCAGGGACCTCATGAATGGCATGGGGCCCCTTGGGCTCCAGGAGGTCATGGATCTGCTCATTGTACACCTCCTGGTAGCTGACGAGCACCTCGAAGTGCTTCTCCTGCTGGTGGGCCTCCAGGCATTTGTAAAGTTCTACAGTGGTCAGGTACATGATGCCGGGGTCCTCCTCTCTTCCAAGCATGGTGTGTGTCTTCCCAGCCCTGGTGGCCCCGTAGGCAAACACTGAGCAGTTGTAGCCTTGGAGGATGCTGTCCAGGACACTGTGTGTGCTGTGCTGGAACACGTCCTGTTGGCCGGCCACCTCACCAAAGACCCATCAGAGACAAATGTCAGGTCTTTGCTCTTCTTCTTGGAGCCATGATGGGTCTGCCCCATTTCAGGCCAGGGAACCCTCTGTCCAGCTCCTTAGGGTTAAACACCAGCACCCATTCATCCGCCACCTGCACCACCGGCCACCATGGACTGTCCAGCTCCCAAGGCGTGGGGGGCCATACCTGCACCACCACCTGCAGTGTACTGTCTTCCACTGCCATCACCATAGTGACACCCTTCGTTGGTTCTCTGCCGCTGGCATCGCTGCTCACTCGCAGGTCCCACAGCCACAACACAGACGAGCAGCCACCCAATGAGAGCACACCCCACACCATGCTGTTCTTCCCCCACCCAGGGGAAAGAGAGAGTTTATTTTATACAGTAATGTTACAGTAATTGAGGGAAAACGTCAGGCGGTAGAATACGATGGAGCCAGCTAGAGGCTGGCTGATGCAGCTGGGGCACACAGAGGAGGGGCCTGGGTACCCCTTTTGGGGAAACTGAGACAAGGGAAGCTATTTAGAACAGCTTGAAAATAAGACTTCTAGAGTGGGATGACAGCAAAAGGAGCTTCTTTTTCTTTCTTTAAGAATGTTGATATGAAAGGTTACACTGGTTCTTTAATATACATGTGAAATTCGAAAACTGTACATTCAATGAGATTAAATTTTATATACAACTAGCGATTGTCCAGCTTTGTTGCTCATTTTCAAGCAAGGCTAAAGTGTTCAACATGAGAAAATATGATACATTTGATACAGTGCAGGGTGGGAATGAATGAGCAGCTCTTAGTGATACTGGACCTTCCTTTCACAAGGCTGTGTCCACCCAGAATCCATGCTGGCAAGAGGGAGGCAGAGGCATCAAACAAAACCTCTCACCAAGTGGCCCAGGAGGGGCAGCTGTTCCTCTTGTGACAGCACAGGCCCATGAGGCAATGTCTTCTCTTCGCCTGTGTGCCCCCCACCAATTACTGCCATGGCTGGGCCTGCTTTGGCGTCTCCTCTTGTACATCCTGGTCATCGGCCTACTCACCTCCCTCATTGGGGACCTTGCTTCCCACTTCGGCTGCACCGTTGGCCTCAAGGACTCTGTCAACGCTGTTGTCTTTGTGGCCCTGGGCACCTCCATCCCTGACACGTTCGCCAGCAAAGTGGCGGCGCTGCAGGACCAGTGCGCTGATGCGTCCATTGGCAACGTGACCGGCTCCAACGCGGTGAACGTGTTCCTGGGCCTGGGCGTGGCCTGGTCGGTGGCCGCTGTGTACTGGGCTGTGCAGGGCCGCCCCTTCGAGGTGCGCACAGGCACGCTGGCCTTCTCCGTCATGCTCTTTACCGACTTCGCCTTCGTGAGCATCGCCGTGCTGCTGTACCGACGCTGGCAGCGCATCGGCGGTGACCCACGCAACCCGCGTGGACCCAAGCTCTCCACCACTGCACTCTTCCTGGGCCTGTGGCTCCTGTACATCCTCTTTGCCAGCATGGAGACGTATTGCCACATCAGAGGCTTCTAGGGCCTTGCCCAGAGACTCGGCCCCACTGCCTGCCCGGGGCTGGGGGGCTCCGCCGAACCTGCTCTTGGACCCTGGTCTCCTTTTCCCTCCAGACTCAGCCTCTCCTCCTGGGACTCGGCCTCTCTCCCCACCCAGCTCTGGCTTTGATCGTCCCTGTCTTCTGTCCCCAGTAGCTCAGCCTTCCCTCTCCCCCTCGGGAGGCTGTCCAGTTCCTCCCTTGCAGTGACCCCAATCTAGCCCATCCTGTCGGTGACCATCTACACCCCTGGGAGAATTTCCATCCCAGTCCCCTCCCCAGGAATCCACCCCCAGTGATCAGCCTGAGGATTTTTTTTGGAGGGTGGGGAGAGAGGGACTGCACCCGGCTGGGTGCAGTGGCATATCTGGGCTCACCACAACCTCGGCCACCCAGCTTCAAGTGATTCTCCTGCCTCAACCTTCTGAGTAGCTGGGATTACAGGCATGCACCACCATGCCCGGCTAATTTTGTATTTTTTTTCACCTTTTATCAATGTTTTATTTTTAAAAACAGGTAAATCCACTTTTTTATACATCATTGCACTTCAATAATTACACAAAACACAAGTACATGCATCTACAGTTACTCACCGCATAAGAACCCTGTTAGGTTATAAAATCTACCATCAACCAGTAAATCAATGTGAAAAAATACAGTGTCAAACCAAAAAGTATAACTAGAGTTGCATAGAATATCACCATGCTATACCATTTCAAGGTCATTGAAAACAAAAGAAAAATTATAAAAGTTGGCCTTGATTGAATGTACAAGAATAAGGTTCAACACATCAGTGCAAAAGGATTTATGAATTTACATGACTTAACAAAAGAAAAGATCACTTAAAAAGCACTCATATGTATATACTGCAATTCATTATACCCAATCGGTGGACTGTTCCAGCTTATTAAAGTCACAGGTTAAGACCTTAAAAATTATAGATTTCTGTTTATATTATTCATCTTTATGTACCAGGACTGCACAATTTCCTCATCTGACAACATACAATAAGGAATGAATATCAGCAGCTTAAAAATGAAACAAGCATTTATTTTGGATTTCTCCCACCCCTAACAATATATATATATATAATATATATATATATATATATATATATATATACTGTATATATCTGTAGGTTTCTCTTCTCACTTTGACGTGCCCACATAACTCATCTGAAGTTTTTTTAATGATTTTAATATACTTTTTAAAAAAGTACACAGTTTTAAATTGGTTTCAATAGGTTTCAAGCAGAAGGGACACTGCCTACCACTTGCAGTCCCATTTCTGATGAAGGGTGATTATCATGTGGCAAACTCACATTTGAATGACTGGCAAAGTAAAAAGATAACTTTTTGTCAACATATCTTTTAGAGTTTATATCATGCACAGTTTAAAATCATGATGAGATGCTGATGGACTATATTCATGTCTCGTATGTTGCCCCATATTTTGGTTCACAGTTTATCCATGATTTAGCATGCCAAGAGACCATCTCAGTCAGTGTCACCTTGAGAAGAGCATCAAAAGCAGAGGGAGCAGTAGGAGGACTGGCAGGGCCTGGAGACCCAGTGCAGCCCCACACTCCCTTGTGTTCTCCTCAGGATGGAAGCCATGACAAGATTCTGGGTACCTTCTGATCTTCTGGGCCTTTAGACATTCACACTTAAGGGATTCATTATACCTAATTTCAATGGGTGCCATGGTGATGGGGGCCACAGATTTGCAGAGGCAGCTGCTGTCCACCACCACCATGAACAGGTTGCTGCTTGGGATTTGCTGGATGACAAAGGACTTGGAGCAGTCTTCACAAGCAGTATTCCCTGTGGTCTCCTTGATGGTGCACTCAGAGACAAATGCTGGATATTCGGTATCACAAGGCTCCAGGGTCTGTTTCAATTTCTGGACTTTAGCTGTCATATCAGAGTGCCACCAACTGCAGAGGTTAAATTCCACCAGGAACAAGACAGGTTCTGTCATTATCCATTTTACTGCAGAGAGGAAGGCATTATAAGGATCCAGGAGGCCATGGGTACCATCGCTGCTTTTATGTGTATATATATATATATATATATATATGTTTAATAGCAGTTCAAATCAAATGTAAACACAATTCACTCTTTCTTATAACATTTTTGAAATTGTAACACAAATTTTGTCCATATATCTGAAAATTATGGCTGAATCTATTTCTTAAATGGTAAGCACTTAAAGGCTACCTAACCAAATTTGACCTTGGGCAGTATACTTAACTCTTGGGAATTATCTTGCTTAAAAATGGATATAAGCATCTTCCTATTTTTAAGAAGTATACAATCAGGCAACATTCTAGATGCTGGTAATAAAACAGCGAGCAGCCTTAGGGTTCACCCTGCTAGGATGTGTGGTTAATCCAGCAGAAGATGCACCCAAGAAAAGCCATTCAGAGTGTGATGAGAGTTTTCAGGGGTGTGAGGATGGCCATGGAAGTTTCTACAGTGCTTCTGGATGTGTTTGGAGAGAACTATCCCAGACTTGAAATCAGGGGTCAGGGAAGCCCTTCTTTGTAACATCCAAGCCAGTTGGTATGCATGAGCGTGTTTGTGCAAATGTGCACATGGACATGTGTGCACTTGGTGACTGGGAGGAATAGGATCAGAATAAGGGCTTTCAGGGTGAACAGAATATTATTTTCTACAACTATAACATGTCTAATGGCTCAACTTGAAATAAATTAGTGGGGGATTTAGAGCCAAATATCATTGGAAAATACAGGGAGTAGATCACATCAAACATCATAAGTCTTCTCAAAAATGCCTTAGCGGAATGAGAAATTATTAAGAGGGGAATGTACCAGAATTGTATTTTTAAAAAATTTACACTAACTTCAGTGGAGAGACTACAAAACTGGAGACCAGTTAGAAGGCTGTCAGTAATAATTCAGATGACAGAGGAAGGTGATTTCGACCTAAGAAGTGGTAGGGGGGGCCGGGCGTGGTGGCTCAAGCCTGTAATCCTGGCACTTTGGGAGGCCGAGGTGGGTGGATCAAGAGATCGAGACCATCCTGGTCAACATGGTGAAACCCCGTCTCTACTAAAAATACAAAAAATTAACTGGGCATGGTGGCACGTGCCTGTAATCCAAGCTACTCGGGAGGCTGAGGCAGGAGAATTGCCTGAACCTAGGAGGCAGAGGTTGCGGTGAGCTGAGATCGCACCATTGCACTCCAGCCTGGGTAACAAGAGCGAAACTCTGTCTCAAAAAAAAAAAAAAAAAAAAAAAAGAAGTGGTGGGGGCAGGAAGAAATAAATATTTTAGAGATCACAGAAGTATAGAATTGACAACCGATTGTGGAGTCTAAAAAAGAAAAGAATCAAGGAAGACATTCATATTTCTGGCTTAGGTTTGGTGGGCAGGGGAGCCAGTCACTGGAGGTAACAGTCATGATGTCATGATAACCTGTTTCCTTTGGGACTCAGAATTGTTTTGAAGATTAAGTAAAATAGTTTATGTGACAGCAACTACCACAATGTCAGTCCATAATAGCTCATTTATGCAGTCATTTCCATTCCCTTCTTGTCTTTTCTGAAGTTGTACCAGTAATTTAGTAACCAAACTGGGACTAAAATCTCAGGCCTCTGTTTACCAGTCCAGAGTATTTTTGTTAATGGACTGCTGATCAGTGCTGTCATCATATACAACTGTAACAGTTTTCCACTTGAAAAATGGCACCAGGTATAAAATGGCATGGCTGAATGAAGAGAAGTGTGGGTAGAGACTGACATAGAAGGAATCTTTGTTGTCTGACACCTGGTGCTTCTAGCAGGTCTGTATGTGGGGAACTCCCAAAGCATCGCAGATGAACTGCACTGCATTTGCTGATGAGCTGTGTGAAGGCCTGAAGATGGCAGCCACCCCAAAAGATAGCTGATCACTGGCTTTCTTGGATGCTTCAAAACTATCATAAAGGTTTATCTTCTGGGTGTCATAAGTAAGGGTAGTATTGGGAAGGTCTGACCTTGAGGTTTCATCGGGTGATTGCTCTTGATTTCTTAGGCTTTGGCTTCAGTGACAAACTGAGACTGCATCACTATTCCATATTTGAGCAGGCCAGCATCGTGGAAGCTCTTTTGAGGCATCTGGGGCTCCAGAACTGCAGGATCAACCTTCTGTCTCATGACTGTGGAGATACTGTTGCTCAGGAGCATCTCTGCAGGTACAAGCAGAATCGATCCGGTTGGCTTACCATAAAGAGTCTCTGTCTGTCAAATGGAGGTCTCTTTACTGAGACTCACCTTCCACTCCTTCTCCAAGAGCTACTCAAAGATGGAGGTGTGCTGTCACTCATCCTCACCCAACTGATGAACTTCTTTGTATTCTCCCGAAGTCTCTTACAGTACATCAATCAAAGGAAGAAGTTCAGAAGATGCTGGGTGGGAGTTCTTGCCTCTGTAACTATCCCCATTCATTTTATCTATGGGCCAGTAGATCCTGTAAATCCCTATACAGAATTTTTGGAGCTGTACAGGAAAATGCTGCTGCGGTCCACAGTCTTGATTCTGGATGACCACGTTAGCCACTATCCACAGCTAGAGGATCCCATGGGCTTCTTGAATGTATATATGGGCTTCATCAACTCCTTCTGAGCTGGAAAGAGTAGCTTCCCTGTATTACCTCCCCTACTCCCTTATCTGTTGTGTATTCTACTTAGGAAGAAATGCCCAAAAGAGGTCCTGGCCATCAAACACTATTCTCTCACAAAGTCCACTTTACTCAAATTGGTGAACAGTGTATAGGAAGAAGCCAGCAGGAGCTCTGACTAAGGTTGAAATCATAGTCCACCTCCCATTACTCTGACATCTGATCAAATGTATGGACTTGGCTTTGTTTTTGTGTTATTGGGAAATTCTGATGAGTGTTACTATTCACTGATGCTGAAAGACGTTCTTTTGCATAAAAGATTTTTTAACACTTTGGACTTCTCTGAAATATTCAGAAGTACTAATTTCTGGCCCAGGCCCAGTAAGGATTCTAAAGTAAGAATGAGGAGAAGGGGGCCTCCTTCCCTCTCCTTGAATGGCTTTATGGGTGCATGCATTTTAAAAGTTCTTTAAGCAACAAAGAAAAAAAAAAAAAAGAACAGCATGGTGTGGGGCATGCTCTTGTTGGGTGGGTGCTCCTGTCTGTGTTGTGGCTGTGGGACCTGTGAGGGAGCAGCGATGCCAGTGGTGGAGAACCGATGAAGGGTGTCACCAGGGTGATGGCAGTGGAGGACAGTACACTGCAGGTGGTGGTGCGGGTGCGGCCCCCCACCCCTTGGGAGCTGGACAGTCAGTGGCGGCCAGTGGTGCAGGTGGTGGATGAACGGCTGCTGGTGTTTAACCTTGAGGAGCCAGACAGAGGGTTCCCTGGCCTGAAATGGGGCAGACCCATCATGGCCCCAAGAAGAAGAGCAAAGACCTGACGTTTGTCTCTGATGGGTCTTTGGTGAGGCAGCCAGCCAACAGGACGTGTTCCAGCACAGCACACACAGCATCCTGGACAGCATCCTCCAAGGCTACAACTGCTCAGTGTTTGCCTACGGGGCCACCAGGGCTGGGAAGACACACACCATGCTTGGAAAGGAGGAGGACCCCGGCATCATGTACCTGACCACTGTAGAACTGTACAAATGCCTGGAGGCCCACCAGCAGGAGAAGCACTTCGAGGTGCTTGTCAGCTACCAGGAGGTATACAATGAGCAGATCCACGACCTCCTGGAGCCCAAGGGGCTCCTTGCCATCCACGAGGACCCCAACAAGGGAGTGGTGGTGCAAGGACTTTCTTTCCACTAGCCAGTCTCAGCCGAGCAGCTGCTGGAGATGCTGACCAGGGGGAACTGTAACCCACTGATGCCAAGGCAACTTCCTCCCACTCCCATGCCATCTTCCAGATCTTCATGAAGCAGCAGGACTGGGTTCCAGGACTGACCCAGGCCATCCAGGTGGCCAAGATGAGCCTGATTGACCTGGCTGGCTCAGAGTGGGTATCCAGCACCCATGCGAAGGGGGAGCAGCTGCAGGATGGTGCCAACATCAACCACTCTGCGGGCACTCATCAACGTCCTCAACGCCCTGGCCGACGCAAAGGGCCACAAGACCCATGTGCCCTACAGGGACAGCAAACTAACCCGCCTGCTCAAAGACTCCCTTGGGGGCAACTGCCACACAGTGATGATTGCTGCCATCATCCCCTCCAGCCTGGCCTACGAGGACACAGACAACACCCTCAAGTATGCTGACCGGGCCAAGGAGATCAGGCTCTCACTGAAGAGCAACGTGACCAGCCTGGACTGTCACATCAGCCAGTATTCTACCATCTGCCAACAGCTCCAGGCCGAGGTAGCCACTCTAAGGAAGAAGCTCAAAGTATATGAAGGGGGAGGCTACCCCCACAGGACGTCCCAGGAGCCCCCAAGTCAGAACCACCACCACAACACCAGCCCTGCATGCCAGAGCTCCCTGCAGGGCCTGGAGCCCTGTAAGAGGAGAGCTTGGGGACAGAGACCCAGGTGGAGAGGGCCATGGAAGGGACCTCTTCAGACCAGGGGCAGTGCCCAAAGGACCAGGATGAAGGCCCAGCTGAGAAGGTTCTAACCCAGATGCCAGAGCAGAACCCCACACATGCACTGCCAGAGTCCTCTGGCCTGACCCTGCAGCCGAAGCTAGTCATGGGCCACCTCTCAGCACAGGAACTGGACAAGGACTGTTCTAAGCAGTTGGCCCTAAAGATGCTGTGCCTGGCCCAGCAGCAATACTCCCTGCTCCAAGCAGCCAACCTTCTGACCCCCGACATGTTCACAGAGTTTAAGACCCTACAGCAGCTGGTGCAAGAAGAAAACATTGAGCCTGAGGCAGAGGCCTCTAGGACTTCTGGCCTTGCCATGGGGGTGTCACCTCTGGCTCAAGAGCTATGTTCAGAGTCAAAGCCTTTGGGATATACTGGCCCTGTGACCCAGACCATGGTGAGGCAGCTGAGTGGCCCCCTACACACATTGGGGATTCCACCTGGACCTAACTACTCCCCAGGCCAGGGATCCCAATGGCCCATGGAGAAGAAGAGGAGGAGACCATGCTCCTTGGAACTAGACAGTCCCACGGCCCTAAAGCGGGGCACCAAGTGCCAGCGCCAGTCCTTTCTGCCCTGCCTGAGGAGAGGGTCTCTGATGCCCAATCTTCACTGGGGCCCAGAACCCCCGAAGGAGAAAGGGCCTCTTCCCCCTGCCCTTCCCCTCACTTGTGCTCAGCCACAGTCATCAAAAGCCGGGTGCCCCTGGGTCCTTTGGCCATGCAGAACTGTTGACCCACTTGAGACCTCAATGCCACCTTCGATATTTCTGAGGAGCCTCCCTCAAAGCCCAGTTTCTATGAGTGCATTGGCTGGGGCAGAGTCCCCCAGGAGCTGAACAGGCTAAACCAGCCCTTCATCCCCAGGGAACCCATGCTCCTGTTCACCACAAAGGGCCCTAAACCAACATTTTCCCTCCCTGGGACCTCTGTCTGCAAGAAGAGGCATGTTGCGAGTTCCTCCATCTCCTGTGGCTGCAGCCGCATCACCCACAGCACCTTGAAGAGGCCAGCTGGACTCCTTGAACTCCCAGAGCTGCCCTTGAGTCCCCAGTGCCCTAGCAACCAGAGGAGTGGAAAGGACCTTGTCAGGGTGGGGAGAGTGCTGTCAGTGGGGAACAGTGTCACCAAGGTGTCCTGACCATCAGGATGTCCTAATCCCCCAGCCCCACTATGCTGAACACCCCTCTTGGACCTGGAAACACCTGAACCAGGAGCCCAGACCTGCTTTCCTTCCCTGGGAGCAATTAGTGCCAACACACCTTAACTGTATTACCATCCCTCCGCAGCCATCTGTCCTGCTACTCACCCCTGTTAATCCTGTTATACTCAGCTTCTTGCTGTCTACTTATTCATTTGTGAGTGTTAACATGTTGCTGTTTTTTTGTTTTTGTTTATGAGATGGTGTTTCACTCTGTCGCCTAGGCTAGAGTATAGTGGTGCAATCTCAGCTGACTGCAACCTCCGCCTCCTGGGTTCAAGTAATTCTCCTGCCTCAGCCTCCCAAGTAGCTGGAATTACAGGTGCCTGCCACCACACCCAGCTAATTTTCAAATTTTTAGTAGAAACAGTGGTTTCACCATGTTGGCCAGGCTGGTCTTGAACTCCTAACCTTGCCCAAAGTGCTGAGATTACAGGTGTAACCCACTGTGCCCGGCCCATGTTGCTGTTTTAAAGGTGCTGCCATGTTCCCCCCTCATTTTTTGTTTTAATTTAATTTAATTTAATTTAATTTAATTTAATTTAATTTTTTGAGACAGAGTCTTACTGTCACCCAGACTTGAGTGCAGTGGCGTGATCTCAGCTCACTGTAACCTCCACCTCCTGGGTTCAAGTGATTCTCCTGCCTCAGCCTCCTGAGTAGTTAGGATTAAAGGCATGTGCTACCACACCTAGCTTTTTTTTTTGTATTTTTAGTAGAGATAGGTTTTCATTGTGTTAGCAAGGATGATCTGGATCTCCTGACCTCATGATCCTCCTGCCTTGGCCTCCCAAAGTGCTGGGATTACAGGTATGAGCCACTGCGCCCAGCCTCCCCCTTCATTTATGATGCCTCCATGCAGGCAGATGGTTTTTGGGCTCTCTTCCCCACCTGTCTCTAACACAGGCCCCACACTGATGGCCATGGGCAGTGGAGGAGGAATAAGGATGAGTTGGGGAGTGGGGAGTCACAGCTTGGCTCTTCCTGGTTTCTGAGAGAGGGACATCTTCATCCTTACTCCTCTGAGTCCCCAACTACAGTCCTGGTGAAGATGTGGATGATAATGGTGCCTTGATTTCCAAATGAAGACAGCTTTATTGTTTCATTCTATTGTAAATAGGATATACATTCAGTGTAAAATAAAGTGTAAAGAAAGGGGACTTCAGCCTTAACGCTGCACCTAGAAAAAAAAAAGAAAAACCAATACTTGGCTACTTCCCTACAGCTGCTAATCTTAGCGGTGTCCCTCCACAGCCTGGCACGGTGGTCAGAATGCAGGGCCTGGCCTACAATACTGGAGTTAAGGAAATTCTTAACTTCTTCCAAGGTTACCAGTATGCAACCGAGGATGAACTTATACACACAAATGACCAGGCCAGGACTCTACCCAAAGAATGGGTTTGTATTTAAGGGCCCCAGCAGTTAGACCATCCTCAGAAAAGAAGTGTTTGAAAGGTGTATAGGGATCTTGAAACTACCAGATGCAAGAAAACTTCTAGCAAATTCAGGGGAAGTTTGTCTACACTCAGGATGCAGTATTTTCAGCAAACTTGATTGGACAAGTGGGCCTGTGCCTTATCTTTTGGTGGAATGAAAAAATTTGAACCAGTGATGCCAAATCCTTATAGCAAGCAGCATGCAGCATACCTGGCTCTTTGCCAATTGCAAATAGGCATTTAAAATGTGAATTTGGAATCAGACGTCTCTATTACTTCCAGCTAAGGTGGCATCATGGTTGTTTCCTAAGTTTTAAGTGTTGAATAAAAACTCCATCAGTGTCTGCCATCTCCACCATGATCTCTGTTAAGGAAGCTTTTGTATATTCCCACTCTTTTCTCTTCATTTTCCTGTCTTCTGCATAGTCATGCCCTCTTGCTAAGTAATTCAAGCATAAGGTCTTGGAATACTAAAATTGCAAGCTTAGGAGAAAGAGTAAAATTGTTATTTTCCAAGTCTTTTTGCCATAATGATCTTATAGTTAAAAACAAATAATTTTAAAACACCTGAAGATACTTTAAAAAACATGGTGCACCCTCCACAAAACATAGAAAGTTTAAAAGTTTGGACCTTTTTCTCAGTAGGTATCAGTTGTAAATAATGAACTAGGGGCCAAAATACAAAACAAAAAATGAAGCAGCTACATGTAGTTAGTAATTTGTAGTTTGAACTGTAACTGAATATTGAGGCTTCATATGCATTATTTTATATTTTATATTTTAATAAGAGAGATTCCATAGTTTCTAATATCACAGAAGTGAGACTATTTGAACAGTGTATTCTAGAAAACAATATACTAACTGAACAGAAGTGAATGCATGTATATATTATGATAGCATTAAACCTTTTTCTCTAAGGCCTTAACTGTCAAATGATTATAAGCTTTTAAAGCATAGGACTATAGTCAGCATGCTAGATGAGAGGTAAACACTGATGCAGTTAGAACAGGTAATGATGCTGTCAGTGTTTAACACTGTGTTTAGCTGCATTTATGCTACAAAAGTGCAATATTAGACACTAGCTAGCTAGTACTGCTGCCTCATGTAACTGCAAAGAAAACAGGATTTCATTAAGTGCATTGAATGTGGATATTTCTTTAAGTTACTTATATTGTCCTTTGCTTGAATGCAATGCCATGGAGATTTATGTGGCTGCTATTTTTATTTTCTTTGCATTACACTGATTAACAGCTTAAAGGGAGAAGCAAGCATTTCCCTCTTCAGCTGACTGGCAATGGCCCTTTAACTGCAATAGGAAGAAAAAAAAAAGTTTGTGTGAAAATTGGTGATAACTGAAAAAAAATTTTTTTTAAGTGCTCGCTTTATTTTTTATGTACAAACTGTTCCTGTCTAAAGCTTTCAGAAGAATGTGTACAGACACCCTGCAGAGATGAGGGTCATGATGGGGCCCTACTGCCTCTTGTGGTGGGGCAGGGGCAAGGGGGTGCATCACAGAAATAGAGAAATGACATGTTCCACTGCAGTTAAACTCTAGTCCCTGATTAGGTCCATCCAGAAGTGGGGGTGGGGCTCCTCAGTAGGTGATTGTCCACTCCTTGACAGAGGCATTGTGGGAGGTGGTGACCAGCATGTGCTCATCCAGCCAGGCCAGGCTGCTGACATGGTGCAGCCAGTGTGCATCTTGGATCTTGACTCTGGTTTCTGGGTCACTCAGGGTCCAGACATACACCAACATGTCCATGCCACCAGATGCAAAGTGTTCCTTGTCTGGGGACCAGGCCAGGCAGACGATTTTTGCATGGTGTCCATAAAAACATTGTTTTCCGAGTAGCCATCAGCAACGCTGAACACTGTGACCAACTTGCTGGCGTTTTACATGGCAAGGAAGGCACCATCATGGGAGTAGGCCACATAGGTCATGGGGTCCTTGGCCTCTAGGAGCTTGCCCTCATCCTTCAGTGTGATACCCAGGATGGAGTACAGGTGGATGCTGCCATCCGCACCCCCAACCGCCACCGTGTCCCCACCTGGGTGCACTGCCACAACTTCAGGCTGTCAATGCTAAGCACTTCCTCTGATCTTTCAGCCGGATGATCTGCCCGATGCACAGCACCACAGTGTATCCCCCAGGGCCCACAGTGACACACTTTGGCTGAACGTCCAGTTCCACTACTCCTTGTCCCCTGTAGTCCCACAGTGTGAGGTTGGTGTACCGCTCAGTGTTATCCATGCTGCAGGTGATGAGCTGCCCCAACTTGTCCATGGTCATCCTGGACACCTGGTTCATGTGGCCCTTCCCAGCGAAGGAATCGTTTTTCCTTGTCTCTGAATCCCAGTAATTAATGTGTCCATCATGGCTCCCAGAGTAGATGTAGGACTTGCCGCCATTTTTATGCACTGTCAGACACTGGATCAATTTACTGTGACCCTTGATGACACGCAGGGGCTTGCTGGGGTTGTTCTGTCCAGATAGTTGATGTACCCGGACAGGGAGACACTGAGCAGGTGGTCCTTCTGCCACAGTCAGCCCAGCTGCTGGTCCAGAACCATGGAGCCCATGGGAAACACGCTGACCACGGAGTTTATATTAACATCCCAGATCTTGGAAGTTTTGTCCCTGGAAGCAGAAAGCAAATGGGTGTTGTCAGGACTCCAACTAATGGCATAAATCCCACCGTCATGGGCCTTGCTTCCACCCAGCGTGCACACCTTCTCCCCAGTCTTCCCATCACAGATGTATATCTGGCCTTCGGCACTGGCTGTGGCAAATCTGTTCCCATCAGGAGAGAATCACACACAATTGACAAAGCGGCTGTGATCACCAATTGTGAACTTGAACTTGAATGGGGGTCCCTCAAAGAACATAGTGTAGTTATTGTCGCTTCCTGTGGCCAACCGGTATGGCTGGCTTTGCTCAATGTCCACACTGTTGATGACTTTGTTGTGGCCCATGATTTCGCCCACAGAAGAGCCACTATCCCACAGGAAGACTGCTCCGAACTTTTCCCTTCCTTCACCGACCAGGGCAATCCTCTTACTGTCTTCAGTCCAGGCAATGTCTTTGATGTTCCTGGCGAAAGGCTGGTATTCATACTTCAACAGGTGCTCCTTCTGTGTGGTATCCTAGATCTTCAGCTTCCCAAACACATCTCCGGAGGCGATGTAGAATCTGCTGGGCGAATACTTTGCCGCCACCGCCTGATGGGTGTGCTCTGTGTAGACGTCAGCAAGGGCTGGGTTGTCGATGTTCCTTAGGATGACGCACTTTCCATTGGCATACAGAAAATTGTTGCCCTTAGGGTCGCCGCTGATGATTTTGGAGATGCTCCTCTCCACCTGGGGGAGGCTGGTGAACACCTTCTTGATCTCGTACGACGTCCTCACCCACTTGCTACTGCTTCATGCTCACCAAAAGCCTCCCGGGCCAGCACTTGCTGGGAATCACACCTCACCAAGGTGTGATTTTTTTTTCTGGGAATCAGCTTTCTGTATTTCACCTCTTGAGAATGTTCCCCCTGCCGAATGAGACAGGATCACAATAACTCAATAACTGAGGAGTCCACATGCAAGTTATATTTTTCTCTAACAAGTTTACAGCAGTGTACAGCAGTTACAGACATTTACTTTATAGTAAAAAAAGTACAACCATATTTATTAAACTTAAGGTGAGGTGGGCAGGAGAGAGGGAGGAAAGCACATTTGGGAATGAGTTCTCAAACTAACGCTCAGAACTGGTGTCCAGTGACATAGAAACCACCTTCCCAAATGGTGGGGCCTTCCCTTGCCTGGGGATAGTGGCAGAGGGCATGGCAGCCACTACAGCACTTCTGACTCCCTCTCCAGTCCCACTTTCCATTTCTATTTTTTATCAGATGGCATTATCAGAATCAGGAATCATGACTGTCACCTATAAGTTACTCATCAAGTTGAAAGTTGTTAAAGAAAAGGAATATCAGGAGTAGCTGCTCACATTGTGGGACAGGAAGATAGGATTTGAGGGCTGGAAAAGAAAATCAAGGAAGATACACTCCTGTCCCCGAATAATTTTTTCATAAGTTAATTATTACTTCTTAACTTAAGGACAAAACTATAATAGAAAGCTGAGTAAGACTAGCGCTGAAAAACTGGAGAGAAGGCCCCAAAGGTGTCCTTTCATTTTTTCTTCTACCTCCAATCTTTCCCGTTTCAAACTACAGGTAAAAGCTCCACCACTATTAAGGTATTAACTTATTCTATGAATTTGATTCTTTCTTTATTCTCCTGAGTTCTAAGATAGGTTTTTTTTTAGTCCATCAATTTTTGTGCTTGATACTGAGGGCTAAAGGGAAAGGATGGGATAAAACACAAAATTTAAAAAAAAGCTTGGAATGCAGGCTCAAGCTGACACTGAGCCTTAGGTCACTGAAAGTCAGGCGAAGTCCTCGGCCTCGGCCGTGGCAGATCCTTCCCCAGACATGGCTTTGGGAGGCGGCAGCACATAGCGGCCACGGCAGCCATGAGCGCGCCCCCGACCCACCCCTGTCCCCCCTAGAGGCCGCAGCCCCAGCCCACCCACCACAGCCCCGCCGCCCCCTGCCTGCACCCGCACCCCGGCCGCCACCATGGGCGTGCAGGGCTTCCAGGACTACATCGAGAAGTACTGCCTGAGCGCTGTGGTGCCGGTGAAGCTGCAGAAGCTGGCCCAGGGCAGCCTGGTGGGCGGCGGGCGGCAGCGGCCCCGGCAGACCCTGCTGCTCCTGCTGGTGGATGCCAACTGCCTGCACCGCCTCTATGGCGGCTTCTACACCGACTGGGTCAGCGGCGGCCAGTGGAACCACATGCTCAGCTACCTGGTGGTGCTAGCCAAGGCCTGCTTTGGCGGCAACATTGAGCTCTTTGTCTTCTTCAACGGCATGCTCGAGAAGGCCTGGCTGCACGAGTGGGTCAAGCGGCAGGGCAACGAGTGCCAAATGGTGCAGCAGATCATCAGCCATGTCCAGAACAAGGGCACCCCGCCGCCCAAGGTCTGGTTCCTGCCGCTCATCTGCATGGCCCACTGCAACCGCCTGGCTCTCATCCGCTTCCAAGTCAAGGTTGCACAGAGCATTGAAGATCACCATCAGGAAGTGATTGGTTTCTGCAGAGAGGATGGTTTCCATGGCTTGGTTGCATATGACTCTGATTATGCACTGTGCAACATCCCCTACTATTTCAGTGCCCATGCCCTAAAACTGAGCCAGAATGGGAAAAGTCTCACCACAAGCCAATATCTGATGCATGAAGTTGCCAAGCAACTGGACCTGAATCCAAATCATTTTCCTATTTTTGCTGCTCCCTTAGGAAATCACATTCTGCCTGATGAAGATCTGGCTTCCTTTCATTGGAGTTTACTTGGTCCAGAACATCCACTAGCCTCACTAAAGGTCCACGCCCACCAGCTGGTCTTGCCACCTTGTGATGTAGTGATCAAAGCTGTTGCTGCCTATGTCCTCAACATTCAGGACACCTCTGACTTGGATGCCATAGCTAAAGATGTTTTCCAGCATTCACAGTCTAGAACAGATGACAAAGTTATACAATTTAAGAGAGCAATTGCATATTATTCAGCGACTAGTAAGCCTATGTCTTTTCATCCACCTCATTACTTACCCGGACCCGGTCTGTTTGGAATGCCTGGGATGGTGCCGCCACATGTTCCTCCTCAGATGCTCAACATTCCACAGACCTCTCTGCAAGCAAAGCCCATGGCCCCACAGGTGCCCAGCCCAGGGGGGTGCCCCGGGCCAGAGTCCATACCCGTACAGCCTCTCTGAGCCAGCAGCTCTCACTTTGGACACGAGTGGGAAGAATCCAATGGAGTAGAACAGCTACAGCAACGTTCCTCATGAAGGGAAACACACGCCTCTGTATGAGCGGTCCTTGCCCATCAACCCAGCCCGGAGTGGCAGCCCCAACCACGTGGATTCTGCCTACTTCTCTGGATCTTCTACATCGTCATCTTCCGACAACGATGGGGGCAGTGGAGGGACGACAAACCATATCAGTGGGAACAAGATTGGCTGGGAGAAGATGGGAAGCCACTCAGAGCCTCAGGCACGAGGAGACCCAGGAGACCAAACAAAGGCAGAAGGCTCATCCACTGCCTCTTCAGAAAGCCAACTAGCTGAAGGCAAGGGAAGCCAGATGGGCACTGTCCAGCCAATGGACAGTGCCCACCAGGAACCACATGGACATCACCACACCTCCCCTGCCCCGCATTGCACCTGAGGTGCGGAGAGTGGCCGAGCATAGGCACAAGAAGGGGCGGATGTACCTCTACATCTTCCATGTCCTGATGAAGGGTGAAATCTAAATTGCTGTTTCTATTGAAGATGAAGTCAACAAGGACCTGCCTCCAGCCGCTCTGGTCCATAGGCCAGTTCATCAGTATGTTTATGGAGTCCTGTTTAGTTTGGCAGAAAACAGAAAGAAAACTGAGAGACTTGCTTTTAGAAAGAACAGATTTCCACCAGAATTCTCACCAGTGATCATTAAAGAATGGGCAGCTTACAAAGGGAAGTCTCCTCAAACCCCAGAACTGGTTGAAGCTCTTGCCTTCAGGGAGTGGACCTGTCCCAACCTGAAGAGGCTATGGTTGGGAAAGGCTGTGGAGGACAGGAACTGAAGGATTAGGGCCTTCCTGGCCTGCATGAGGTCAGACACCCTGGCCATGCTCAACCCTGCCAATGTGCCCACTCACCTCATGGTGCTCTGCTGCATCTTACGGTACATGGTGCAGTGGCCAGGAGCACGCATCCTCCAGTGTCAGGAGCTGGATGCCTTGCTGGCTCAGGTGCTGTCCCCCAAACTCTATGAGCCTGATCAGCTCCAGGAACTCAAGATTGAGAACCTAGATCCCCGAGACGGCCAATCCCCTGGGAACACTGTTGTCCTTGGATGTATTTTGATGGGAAATTCTTCCAATCCAAACTCCTCAAAGCCAGCTGGGAAAAGACCCCGCTCATTGACCTCTGTGATGGTCAGGCTGAGCAGGCTGCCAAGGTAGAGAAGATGCACCAGAGCGTCCTTGAGGGGCTCAGCTTCTCCCAGCAGAACCACATACTCCCTTTCCCACCACCTCCTGCCCTGCCCTTCTACCCTGCCTCTGCATACCCCCGGCAGTTTGGACCTGTCTCACCCTCTCAGGGCAGGGGCAGAGGCTTTGCAGGTGTCTGTGGCTTTGGAGGCCCCTATGGGGAAATGGTAGCAACAGACCCCTACCATGCCTTCCATGTGGTGGCAGCATCGGGACACCGTGGAGCCTTCTCAGGCAGTGATAGCAGCAGGACTAGCAAGTCCCAGGGTGGAGTCCAACCTGTACCTTCTCAGAGAGGCAAACTAGAAATAGCTGGCACTGTTTCTGTTGAAGGACCAGCTAGAGGGTGTCCAATAGGAGTTATTTCCACCCCAGTGATTAGAACATTTGGAAGAGTTGGAAGGTACTATGGCAGAGGTTATAAAAACCAGTCATTGATTCAGGGCAGACCTTTTTATGCTGCTTCAGCAGAAGAAGTGGCCAAAGAACTTAAGTCAAAATCTGGGGAATCGAAGTCCTCTGCTACATCTTCAGACGGGTCCCTGGCTGAAAACAGAGTGATGGCCGAGGAGAAACTGGCTCCCCAGATGAATGGGAGCGTGGGTGACACCAGGACCCCCAGCCACTCTGAAAGTGCCTTGAATAATGACTGTAAAACATGCAATACAAATCCTCATCTAAATGCACTAAGTACAGGCAGCGCTTGCCACAGAGAAGCTGCTCTGGAGACAGCTGTCTTAAATAAAGAAGAGTAAACTTATTTTTTATAGAGGATGAAGGATGCTGGAAGGGTAAAGATTTAGGAATATCTGCAGAGAGAGAGCCTGCAGTTATGTACATTTTGTCTTTTCCATAAGAGAAAAATGAGGACTTTGGAAATTCAGATCCCACTTTGATATCAGAGATTTAAACAACACATTTTTAGTTTTAACCAGTTGTAGTCAAAATGCTACAATAAAACAAAAAAGAGGAAGAAAATGAAGAGCATTTGACTCCCGCACTTAAAATGAAGTACACATAAAGTTTAAACTGGTTATGACAAAAGCCTATAGTTGTTTCTTGAACTATAAAGAAAACAAATTTGGGCAGTCTTTAAGTATATATAGCTTAAAATATAATTTTTAGCAGTTAGTGCCATATGTATGCCATTATATTTGATTTTGCATTACTGTTTTACAATGAAGCTTTCTTTAAGGCTTTGATTTTTACGATTATGAAAAAATGAGGCACAACCACAGTTTTTCTTTCTTAAATTTCATCACAATTAATGTGGTTCTTTTGTGTTAAAAAAAGAGTGCAACTATGAAAACTAAAAAATTATAGAGTAATATTGCTGTTCTGCTGATTTTAAATATACAATACATCAAACATACATTACAAGCAAGTTAAATGGAGATAAAGTTGAAATCATAGAAGATGCAAATGACCTTTCAAAATCAACACAATGTGTTCTGAAACTTTTCGTGACTAATACCATGCATCTATGATCAATGAACTATGTGGTTTTGAATCTGATGTAGACCATTAGTACTACTACTTGAGCTAAACTTCTGCATGGTTCATAATTTTTAAAGTGTGTAGTTAATATGCATACTATCATCCTTTCTTCCATTCTTACCAGTATGTGCCCATTTTCAAAACAAAGATGCTAATAATCAGTAATAGTCCTATAAAAGATGTTAACTCTCTTTAGTCATTGACTGATCTTGCTCTAACCTTAAAATTTTGTGATTATTGACCTCTGTTGCATTTATTCTAAAGCTCCCCTCCCAAAATTATCTAGCCATTTCAAATATCAACATTACCCTGGTGTATTCACTGCTGTTTGCATTAATGTTCTTTGTTGCTGTTTTATGCCTTCATATTAGCAAATATGAAATTCTGTGAAAAAAACCCCTTTGATATATAAAAAGAAAAAAAAAAACACCCCTGCTCTGCAGCAGAAAACATATTGCTTGTTCTTGAGAACTTTCCCATCAAGAATTTTTTTTTTTTAATTTTTTATTGGATTATAGGTTTTGGGGTACATGAGCAGAGCATGCAAGACAGTTGCGTAGGTACACACATGGCAGTGTGCTTTGCTTTTCTTCTCCCCTTCACCCACATTTGGCATTTCTCCCCAGGCTATCCCTCCCCACCTCCCCCTCCCACTGGCCCTCCCCTTTTCCCCCCAATAGACCCCAGTGTTTAGTACTCCCCTCCCTGTGTCCATGTGTTCTCACTTTTCATCACCCACCTATGAGTGAGAATATGCGGTGTTTCATTTTCTGTTCTTGTGTCAGTTTGCTGAGGATGATGTTTTCCAGATTCATCCATGTCCCTACAAACGACACGAACTCATCATTTCTGATTGCTGCATAATATTCCATGGTGTATATGTGCCACATTTTTCCAATCCAGTCTATCATCAATGGGCATTTGGGTTGGTTCCAGGTCTTTGCTATTGTAAACAGTGCTGCAATGAACATTCGTGTACATGTGTCCTTATAGTAGAACGATTTATAGTCTTTTGGATATATACCCAGTAATGGGATTGCTGGGTCAAATGGAATTTCTATTTCTAAGGCCTTGAGGAATCGCCACACTGTCTTCCACAATGGTTGCACTAATTTACACTCCCACCAACAGTGTAAAAGTGTTCCTTTTTCTCCACATCCTCTCCAGCATCTGTTGTCTCCAGATTTTTTAATGATCGCCATTCTAACCGGCGTGAGATGGTATCTCAATGTGGTTTTGATTTGCATCTCTCTGATGACCAGTGACGATAAGCATTTTTTCATATGATTGTTGGCCTCATATATGTCTTCTTTCGTAAAGTATCTGTTCATATCCTTTGCCCACTTTTGAATGGGCTTGTTTGTTTTTTTCCTGTAAATCTGCTTGAGTTGTTTGTAAATTCTGGATATCAGCCCTTTGTCAGATGGGTAGACTGCGAAAATTTTTTCCCATTCTGTTGGTTGCCGATCCACTCTAGTGACTGTTTCTTTTGCCGTGCAGAAGCTGTGGAGTTTCATTAGGTCCCATTTGTCTATTTTGGCTTTTGTTGCCAATGCTCTTGGTGTTTTGTTCATGAAGTCCTTGCCTACTCCTATGTCCTGGATAGTTTTGCCTAGATTTCCTTCTAGGGTTTTTATGGTGCCAGGTCTTATGTTTAAGTCTTTAATCCATCTGGAGTTAATTTTAGTGTAAGGTGTCAGGAAGGGGTCCAGTTTCTGCTTTCTGCACATGGCTAGCCAGTTTTCCCAACACCATTTGTTAAACATGGAATCCTTGCCCCATTGCTTGTTTTTGTCAGGTTTATCAAAGATTGTATAGTTGTATGTATGTTGTGTTGCCTCCGGTGCCTCTGTTTTGTTCCATTGGTCTATATCTCTGTTTTGGTACCAGTACCATGCTGATTTGATTACTGTAGCCTTGTAGTATAGTTTGAAATCTGGTAGTGTGATGCCCCCCGCTGTGTTCTTTTTGCTTAGAATTGACTTGGCTATGCGGGCTCTCTTTTGGTTCCATATGAAGTTCATGGTGGTTTTTTCCAGTGCTGTGAAGAAAGTCAATGGTAGCTTGATGGGGATAGCGTTGATTCTGTAAATTACTTTGGGCAGTATAGCCATTTTCACGATATTAATTCTTCCTAACCATGAACATGGAATGTTTCTCCATCTGTTTGTGTCCTCTCTGATTTCGTTGAGCAGTGGTTTGTAGTTCTCCTTGAAGAGGACCCTTACGTTACTTGTGAGTTGTATTCCAAGGTATTTTATTCTTTTTGTAGCAATTGCGAATGGCAGTTCGCTCTTGATTTGGCTTTCTTTAAGTCTGCTATTGGTGTAGACGAATGCTTGTGATTTTTGCTCATTGATTTTATATCCTGAGACTTTGCTGAAGTTGTTTATCAGTTTCAGGAGTTTTTGGGCTGAGGCGATGGGGTCTTCTAGGTATACTATCATGTCGTCTGCAAATAGAGACAATTTGGCTTCCACCTTTCCTATTTGAATACCCTTTATTTCTTTTTCTTGCCTAATTGCTCTGGCTAGAACTTCCAGTACTATATTGAATAGGAGTGGTGAGAGAGGGCATCCTTGTCTAGTACCAGATTTCAAAGGGAATGCTTCCAGTTTTTGCCCATTCAGTATGATATTGGCTGTTGGTTTGTCATAAATAGCTTTTATTACTTTGAGATACGTTCCATCGATACCGAGTTTATTGAGGGTTTTTAGCATAAAGGGCTGTTGAATTTTGTCAAATGCCTTCTCTGCGTCAATTGAGATAATCATGTGGTTTTTGTTTTTGGTTCTGTTTATGTGGTGAATTACGTTGATAGACTTGCGTATGTTGAACCAGCCTTGCATCCCTGGGATGAATCCTACTTGATCATGGTGAATAAGTTTTTTGATTTGCTGTTGCAATCGGCTTGCCAATATTTTATTGAAGATTTTTGCATCTATGTTCATCATGGATATTGGCCTGAAGTTTTCTTTTCTCGTTGGGTCTCTGCCGGGTTTTGGTATCAGGATGATGTTGGTCTCATAAAATGATTTGGGAAGGATTCCCTCTTTTTGGATTGTTTGAAATAGTTTTAGAAGGAATGGTACCAGCTCCTCCTTGTGTGTCTGGTAGAATTCGGCTGTGAACCCATCTGGACCTGGGCTTTTTTTGTGAGGTAGGCTCTTAATTGCTGCCTCAACTTCAGACCTTGTTATTGGTCTATTCATAGTTTCAGCTTCCTCCTGGTTTAGGCTTGGGAGGACACAGGAGTCCAGGAATTTATCCATTTCTTCCAGGTTTACTAGTTTATGTGCATAGAGTTGTTTGTAATATTCTCTGATGATGGTTTGAATTTCTGTGGAATCTGTGGTGATTTCCCCTTTATCATTTTTTATTGCATCTATTTGGTTGTTCTCTCTTTTATTTTTAATCAATCTGGCTAGTGGTCTGTCTATTTTGTTGATCTTTTCAAAAAACCAGCTCTTGGATTTATTGATTTTTTGAAGGGTTTTTCGTGTCTCAATCTCCTTCAGCTCAGCTCTGATCTTAGTAATTTCTTGTCTTCTGCTGGGTTTTGAGTTTTTTTGATCTTGCTCCTCTAGCTCTTTCAATTTTGACGATAGGGTGTCAATTTTGGATCTCTCCATTCTCCTCATATGGGCACTTATTGCTATATACTTTCCTCTAGAGACTGCTTTAAATGTGTCCCAGAGGTTCTGGCACGTTGTGTCTTCATTCTCATTGGTTTCGAAGAACTTCTTTATTTCTGCCTTCATTTCGTTGTTTACCCAGTCAACATTCAAGAGCCAGTTGTTCAGTTTCCATGAAGCTGTGCGGTTCTGAGTCGGTTTCTGTATTCTGAGTTCTAACTTGATTGCACTATGGTCTGAGAGGCTGTTTGTTATGATTTCAGTTGTTTTGCATTTGTTGAGCAGTGCTTTACTTCCAATTATGTGGTCAATTTTAGAGTAGGTGTGATGTGGTGCTGAGAAGAATGTGTATTCTGTGGATTTGGGGTGGAGAGTTCTGTAAATGTCCACCAGGTTTGCTTGCTCCAGGTCTGAGTTCAAGCCCTGGGTATCCTTGTTTATTTTCTGTCTGGTTGATCTGTCTAGTATTGACAGTGGAGTGTTAAAGTCTCCCACTATTATTGTGTGGGAGTCTAAGTCCTTCTGTAAGTCATTAAGAACTTGCCTTATGTATCTGGGTGCTCCTGTGTTGGGTCCATATATGTTTAGGATCGTTAGCTCTTCTTGTTGTATCGATCCTTTTACCATTATGTAATGGCCTTCTTTGTCTCTTTTGATCTTTGTTGCTTTAAAGTCTATTTTATCAGAGATGAGAATTGCAACTCCTGCTTTTTTTTGCTTTCCATTAGCTTGGTAAATCTTCCTCCATCCCTTTATTTTGAGCCTTTGTGTATCCTTGCATGTGAGATGGGTTTCCTGGATACAGCACACTGATGGGTTTTGGATTTTTATCCACTTTGCCAGTCTGTGTCTTTTGATTGGTGCATTTAGTCCATTTACATTTAGGGTTAATATTGTTATGTGTGAATTTGATACTGCCATTTTGATGCTAAGTGGCTGTTTTGCCTGTTAGTTGTTGTAGATTCTTCATTATGTTGAAGCTCTTTAGCATTCAGTGTGATTTTGGAATGGCTGGTACTGATTGATCCTTTCTATGTGTAGTGCCTCTTTTAGGAGCTCTTGTAAAGCAGGCCTGGTGGTGACAAAATCTCTGAGTACTTGCTTGTTTGCAAAGGATTTTATTTTTCCTTCACTTCTGAAGCTCAGTTTGGCTGGATATGAAATTCTGGGTTGAAAGTTCTTTTCTTTAAGAATGTTGAATATTGGCCCCCACTCTCTTCTGGCTTGTAGTGTTTCTGCCGAGAGATCTGCTGTGAGTCTGTTGGGCTTCCCTTTGTGGGTGACCCGACCTTTCTCTCTGGCTGCCCTTAGTATTCTCTCCTTTATTTCAACCCTGTTGAATCTGACGATTATGTGCCTTGGGGTTGCTCTTCTTGCGGAATATCTTTGTGGTGTTCTCTGTGTTTCCTGCAATTGAGTGTTGGCTTGTCTTGCTAGGTGGGGGAAATTTTCCTGGATGATGTCCTGAAGAGTATTTTCCAGCTTGGATTCATTCTCTTCGTCCCCTTCTGGTACACCTATCAAACGTAGGTTAGGTCTTTTCACATAGTCCCACATTTCTTGGAGACTTTGTTCATTCCTTTTTGCACTTTTTTCTCTGATCTTGGTTTCTCGTTTTATTTCATTGAGTTGGTCTTCGACTTCAGATATTCTTTCTTCTGCTTGGTCAATTCGGCTATTGAAACTTGCGTTTGCTTCGCAAAGTTCTCGTATTGTGTTTTTCACCTCCTTTAATTCATTCATATTCCTCTCTAAGGTATCCATTCTTGTTATCATTTCCTCGAATCTTTTTTCAAATCTTTTTTCAAGATTCTTAGTTTCTTTGCATTGATTTAATACATGATCTTTTAGCTCACAAAAGTTTCTCATTATCCATCTTCTGAAGTCTAATTCCGTCATTTCGTCACAGTCATTCTCCGTCCAGCTTTTTTCCCTTGCTGGTGAGGAGTTTTGGTCCTTTCTAGGAGGCGATGTGTTCTGGTTTCGGGTGTTTTCCTCCTTCTTGCGCTGGTTTCTTCCCATCTTTGTGGATTTGTCCGCTGGTCGTCTGCGTAGTTGCTGACTTTTCGTTTGGGTCTCTGAGTGGACACCCAGAATGTTGATGATGAAGTATTTCTGTTGCTTGGTTTTCCTTCTACCAGTCTAGCCCCTTCGCTGTACGACTGTTGAGGTCCGCTCCAGACCCTGCTTGTCTGGGGTGCACCTCTAGTAGCCGTGGCACAGCGAGGGATGCTACCAGTTTCTTATTCTGCTCTCTTTGTCCCAGGATGATGCCTGCCTAATGACAGTCTTTTGGATATAGAGGGGTCAGGGAGCTGCTTGAGGAGACAGTTTGTACTTTATAGGGGTTTAATTGCTGAGCTGTGCACTCTGTTGTTCATTCAGGGCTGTTAGGCTGCTATGTTTGATTCTGCTGCAACACAGCTCATTAAACAACCTTTTTTTTTTTTTTTCTCAAATGCTCTGTGTTGAGGGGTTTGGGCTTTATTTTTGGATGTCCGATCAGGTGTCCTGCCCAGCTCAAAGGCAGACTAGCCACTGTTTGGCTGCCGAGGCTCCGCCCTGCTGTTGTGTGATTCGCGCTGTTCCTGCCGGCTCTGCTGTGGTCTCCGCCACGCCCTGCGGCGGAGTCTCTTCGTTGTAGCGTGTTGCCTCAGCAACGGCAGGCTGCGTCAGCAGTGGGCGTGTATCTCAGTAGGGACGGGTTGCCTCGGCAACGGCTGGCTGCGTCAGCAGTGGGCGTGTATCTCAGTAGGGATGGGTTGCCTCAGCAAGGGCTGGCTGCGTCAGCAGTGGGCGTGTATCTCAGTTGGGGCGGGTTGCCTCGGCAACGGCTGGCTGCCTCAGCAGTGGGCGTGTATATCAGTTGGGGCAGGTTGCCTCCATAGTGGTGGACGCCCCTCCCCCACAGAGCGTCTCGGACCGTCTGCCCGGGATAGTTTGAAATCGCGGTTTTGTTCGTCCCACTGGGTATCCCAAGCGATCTGTCTCTGCAATCCCCTGGGCTGGGCTACTGTGCAAGTCTCGTTCAGTCTCAAGTCCAGCCCTCTCAAGTCTCAGGTTGCCGGTTCAACAAGGCACCCGGACAAGCGCGCCCTGTGGGGATTGCTGGGTAGGGCCGGCCGCCGCCGCCCCGGCTGCCGGCTTCGCCAGGCAGACCTACTGCCTGGCGTCCCGTGTCTTTTTATACTTGGGAGTTTCCCCGTTCTGTGGGCAACAAAGATCAGTCTGGAAATGCAGCACTGACTCACCGTTTGCGAATTCAACGCGGGCTCCAATCCTGGGTTGTTCTCACAGCGCCATCTTGAGTCCCCTCCTCCCATCAAGAATTTAGTAGAAGCAGGCATACTTCGATGATTTTGATGTTTTTGTTAATGTTTCCAAACAATGTACTTTGAAATCGGAATCACTTCTTATCGTTTTCAGATACTTCTGATGCTCTTCATCACATTAGTGATCAGAAATGAGGTGTAATTCCCCAACCCCTGCCTGCAAGAGCTAAGTAGGATCTTACTGTAAGTTGAAGGGAGTTTTGCCCTAACTCATGGATTGTGCAAGAATGAACTGCTGTTGAGTTTGATTGACTGTCGATGGATTGTGGTGTGGTGTATCTGAAGGCTATTGAATGCAACTTACAATGCTTAATAAAGATCTTTATTCTTTTAGTGTAAAAAAAAAAAAAAAAGGCCAGGAGCGGTGGTTCAAGCCTGTAATCCCAGCACTTTGAGAGGCTGAGGCTGGTGGATCACGAGGTCAAGAGATCGAGACCATCCTGGTCAACAAGGTGAAACCCTGTCTCTACTAAAAATGCAAAAATTAGCTGGACATGGTGGCGCATGCCTGCAATCCCAGCTACTCAGGAGGCTGAGGCAGGAGAACTGCCTGAACCCAGAAGGTGGAGGTTGCAGTGAGCCGAGATCGTGCCATTGCACTCCAGTCTGGGTAACAACAGTGAAACCCCATCTCAAGAAGAAAAAATAAGTTTTTTGTTTTTTAGTAGTAGTAAGGATGACTCTATTTAAACTAAAAACATTGGTAATATACAAATTGTTTTTTCTCATTTCATTGAAAGAGCTATAAAATTCAATATACTGACAAAAGAAGCAACATAATCACATAGATAACGTCTCTGCGAATTCCTTTTACCTCACTTCATCCTTAAAGGTGAGCTGCACACTCAGCTATACAATTTTCTAGACTGTGCGATGGCTTCAAGGCTGGCCTACCACAAGTGACTGAAAAAAAGTCTTGTTGGTAAGCTGACACTGGCTTGTATGTTTTTAAAAACGGAGAGAGAATGGCAAATTGTGCCTTACGTTTTTATAGAACCCAAAGGATAATACCGAGTAAATGTGAAATAAATAAAGTGATCCATGAGTAAATACAGTCTCTGGGATGACTTAAACCTAGGAGGGTGAGCCAAGTGAGCACTAACAATACCATTTAGAAATGTCTAGAAACATCATTTCTAGAACTCAGCTTGGGAGACCATATCTTGCCTGAATATGTACATATGTTTACAAAATATTTCCTTTTGGCCTCTGGAATTTAGCCATTTTAGTTTGGCTGGTAGCTGTTTTCTTTCCATATGCTAGCCAATACTGCAGTTATAACTATCATTAAAATACCCTTATGCATGAATTACAAATATTAATAAAGTAACTCTGCATGTATAAATATCTCAGTATTTCTAGCAGAATTTAAAGCATTCAGAATGTACATAAAAGTATTTGTTTTTGGTAGGGCCAGTATTTCTTTTTATAGTATCGCTGTTTCAATAATGCTTTGTACATTGCAAAGCCCAAAACTTGCTCGAAGCCAAAACGTGGAGCTCTTGAGGTCAGCTTGTGTGTCGTGCGAATACATGGCCATTGTTGTCAGTTTAACGAAGATATCCTTACTGGGGGCATCAGCAGTATTGCAAGTGAAGGCTTGTTGTGGAGTCATTTTGTGTTTCCTGCAGAAATCAGTAGGTGAAATACTATACTCTTGTTTAACCTCATGCAGGTCTGACTTCGTAGCTATGATTAAGCAGGCTATTCTGCTGTCCATAAAGTGTTGCTCAAAAATCCTGGCAAATAATTTGGGGTTACTGACATTATAGACCAGGCACACAACATCACAAATGATCTCAGCTTCAGTTAGAAATTCTGATTCTGAGATATCATGCAACAACAAGTATTTCTCTTGCCCATATACATAAACAGTGTTAATCACATAGTAGGATTTATAATCTTCTTGAATTTTCTTCTGCCTCATTAGGTTTCTTCCAAGAAGAGCCTGAAGAACTCCACTTTTCCCACAGTTTTTCATTCCAATTACATTACATCTGAACACATTTCTTTGAGTGTGTTTTTTCTGCAGGTCTATCTTTTTATCTCTTGTTACTGTAATAGCTGAAGCTTGAGACTCTTGCTCAGTCAATATTGAATAGCCTAGATATCCCAAATACTCCAGGCACCACTGTACATTTAAATAAGTTATTAGTGTCCACTGGGAAAGGAATTCCTGGTAGGTGATAGAAATTTGCTGACTGTATTAAAGTTTTCAAGCCAAAAAAGCTGACTCTGAAAGGTTACAAGCAGTATTGGTGCACCTTCAAAGACACATTTATTTCTTGCTATAAGAGCAAAGAAGAATCCAGTGGGACCCCAGCTCATCAGATGAACCTCAGGGGATGTGAAGTTACCCCAGATGTAAGTAAATATTTCAGGCCAAAAATTTAACATTAATCTCCTGATTCCAGTTGCAGAGGGCATGAATGAAATCTGGCTTCATTTTGACAATGGAAAACAGTATGCACACTGGATGGCAGCCTGCAGATTAGCCTCCAAAGGCAAGACCATGGCGGACAGTTCTTACAACTTAGAAATTCAGAACATTCTTTCCTTTCTGAAGATGCAGCATTTAAACCCAGATCCTCAGTGAATACCAGAGCAGATCATGACCAATACCAATCCTTAATGTTTGGTGTCTCCTCACTATCTAAAAAAGTATAAGAACAAGCAGCCAGGCTATATAAGAGGTTTGATAACAGCAAGAATCTTGGAGTCCCATCAGAATGTAGCTCAGATGAGTCTAATTGAGGCCAAGATGAGATTTATTCAAGCTTGGCAGTCATTATCTGAATTTGGCATCACACACTTCATTGCAAGGTTCCAAGGGGGCAAAAAAGAAGAACTTATTAGAATTGCATACAACAGACTGATTAGGATGGGTGCCAGCACTGGAGATGCAATTAAAACATGGCATTTCAGCAACATGAAACAGTGGAATGTAAACTGGGAAATCAAAATGGTCACCATAGAGTTTGCAGATGAAGTACGATTGTCCTTCATTTGTACTGAAGTAGATTGCAAAGTGGTTCATGAACTCATTGGTGGCTACATATTTTTCTCAACACATGCAAAAGACCAAAATGAGAGTTTAGATGAAGAGATGTTCTACAAACTTACCAGTGGTTGGGTGTGAATAGAAATACTGTGTAATGAAACTCCACAGCCATAACAATATTTAACTTTAAAAGCTGTTCATTATATGCTGCTTAATTAAAGTAAGCTTAAAATGTCTTATTTTACCGTGAAAACTTTTTGCCTTACCAGACCAGTTAATATGTGCACTAAACAAGCATGAACGTTAATCTATCATGATATAATAAACATGAATTTGGCACACATTCCTTAGGGCCAAGAATTGAAAACTGAAAAATAGCAGGCAAATCAGGAACAAACCATCACTGATGTAAGCTAGCCAAACTATGAGAAACAAGCCATCTATTTTAAAGCTATCCAGGGCTTAACCTATATAAAGTCTATTTATCATGTCTAATGCATGTGTTTTAGTGTATGTTTAATTTGATATCATGTTTTAAAATATCCTTCTGGTAGCCATTTATTTCCTCCTCCTACCCCCAAATAGATCAGGCATGCAGGAGGCCTGCTATTTAATAATGTCATTGTGTTTGACCTTGAAGAAAAATGCTATTAGTCTGTTATGCTTGATTTGTTTTTGTCCTTGAATAAGCATGTGATGTATATTGTCCTGTGTTTTTTGTTTTTATTTTTATACTATATCATATTACACTTCTAGTATTCACCAGCATATTCACTGTCTGCCTAAAATATGCAACTCTTTGCATTACAGTATGAAGTAAAGTTCTATGAAGTATGCGTTTTGTAACTAATATACAAACACAAATTAGTTTGTAACTAATATACAAACACAAATTTTATAAAATTGTACAGTTTTATAAAAACTACTCACAACTAGCAAATGGCTTACATGTAGCATCTCTGCATTAATTAAATGCCTTTAAGAGATATAATTAGAGGAGGACTCAAGATGGCGCTGTGAGAACAACCCAGGATTGGAGCTCTTCTCGTTGAATCCGCAAATGGTGAGTCAGAGCGGCATTTCCAGACTGATCTTTGTTGCCCACAGAACGGGGATACTTCCAAGTATAAAAAAGACACGGGGAGGACTCAAGATGGCGCTGTGAGAACAACCCAGGATTGGAGTTCTCGTTGTGTCTGCGGAGAGGTGAGTCTGAGCTGCATTTCCAGACTGATCTTTGTTGCTCACGGAACGGGGAAATTCCCAAGTGAAGAGGAGACGTGGGACGCCAGGCAGATATTCCACCTGGCGAAGCCGGCAGCCGGGGTGGCGGCGGCCGGCCCTAACCAGCGCTCCCCACAGGGCACACTTGTCCGGGTGCCCCGTTGAACTGGCAACTGGAGACGTGAGAGGGCTGGACTTGAGTCTGAGCTAGACTTGAACAGTGGGCCAGCCCAGGGGATCGCAGGAACAGAGCGTTAGGATTGGCCCAGTGGGACGAACAAAACCGTGATTTCAAACAAGCCCCGTGCAGAGGGCCCAAGACACTCTGAGGAAGAGGGGCGGCCACCATTACCGAGGTAACCAGCCCCAACTGAGATACACGCCCATTGCTGACGCAGCCAGCCGTTGCCGAGGCAACCCGTCCCTACTTAGATACACGCCCACTGCTGACGCAGCCAGCCGTTGCCGAGGCAACCCATCCCTACTTAGATACACGCCCACTGCTGATGCAGCCAGCCATTGCTGAGGCAACCCATCCCTATTTAGATACACGCCCACTGCTGACGCAGCCTGCCGTCGCCGAGGCAACCCGCTACAACAGAGAGACTCCGCCACAGGGCATGGCGGAGAACAGCAAAACAGCGGAGCCAGGGCGAGCCTCACAACAGCAGGGCGGAGCCTCGGCAGGCAAACAGTAGCTAGTCTGCATCCTAGCTGGGCAGGACCTCAACGGACATCCAAAAATAAAGCCCAAACCCTTCAACACAGCATTTGAGGAAAAAAAGGGTTTTTTTAATGAGCTCTGTTGCAGCAGAATCAAACATAGCAGCCTAACAGCCCTGAATGAACAACACAACTCACAGCTCAGCAATTAAACCCCTATAAAGTACAAACTGTCTCCTCAAGCAGCTCCCTGACCCCTCTATATCCAAAAGACTGACATTAGGCAGGCACCATCCTGGGACAAAGATAGCAGAAAAAGAAACTGGTAGCATCCCTCGCTGTGCCACAGCTGCTAGAGGTGCACCCCAGACAAGCAGGGTCTGGAGCGGACCTCAGCACTCGTACAGTGAAGGGGCTAGACTGGTAGAAGGAAAACCAGGCAACAGAAATACTTCATCATCAACATTTAGGGTGTCCACTCAGAGACCCAATTGAAAAGTCAGCAACTACGCAGACGACCAGTGGACAAATCCGCAAAGATGGGAAGAAACCAGCGCAAAAAGGAGGAAAACACCCGAAACCAGAACACCTCGCCTCCTAGAAAGGACCAAAACTCCTCACCAGCAAGGGAACAAAGCTGGACGGAGAATGACTGTGACGAAATGACGGAATTAGACTTCAGAAGATGGATAAAATATTGGCAAGCCGATTGCAACAGCAAATCAAAAAACTTATTCATCATGGTCAAGTAGGATTCATCTTGGGGATGCAAGGCTGGTTCAACATACGCAAGTCCATCAACATAATTCACCACATAAACAGAACCAAAACCAAAAACCACATGATTATCTCAATTGATGCAGAGAAGGCATTTGACAAAATTCAACAGCCCTTTATGCTAAAAACCCTCAATAATCTCGGTATCGATGGAACGTATCTCAAAGTAATAAAAGCTATTTATGACAAACCAACAGCCAATATCATACTGAATGGGCAAAAACTGGAAGCAATCCCTTTGAAATCTGGCACTAGACAAGGATGCCCTCTCTCACCACTCCTATTCAATATAGTACTGGAAGTTCTAGCCAGAGCAATCAGGCAAGAAAAAGAAATAAAGGGTATTCAAATAGGAAAGGTGGAAGCCAAATTGTCTCTATTTGCAGACGACATGATAGTATACCTAGAAGACCCCATTGCATCAGCCCAAAAACTCCTGAAACTGATAAACAACTTCAGCAAAGTCTCAGGATATAAAATCAATGTGCAAAAATCACAAGCCTTCCTCTACACCAATAACAGACTTAAAGACAGCCAAATCAAGAACGAACTGCCATTCACAATTGCTACAAAAAAGAATAAAATACCTTGGAATACAACTCACAAGGAATGTAAGGGACCTCTTCAGGGAAAACTACAAACCACTGCTCAACAAAATCAGAGAGGACACAAACAGATGGAGAAACATTCCATGTTCATGGTTAGGAGGAATTAATATCGTGAAAATGGCTATACTGCCCAAAGTAATTTACAGAATCAACGCTATCCCCATCAAGCTACCATTGACTTTCTTCACAGCACTGGAAAAAACCACCATGAACTTCATATGGAACCAAAAGAGAGCCCGCATAGCCAAGTCAATTCTAAGCAAAAAGAACACAGCGGGGGGCATCACACTACCAGATTTCAAACTATACTACAAGGCTACAGTAATCAAAACAGCATGGTACTGGTACCAAAACAGAGACATAGGTCAATGGAACAGAACAGAGGCATCAGAGGCAACACAACATAGCTACAACCATACAATCTTTGATAAACCTGACAAAAACAAGCAATGGGGAAAGGATTCCCTGTTCAACAAATGGTGCTGGGAAAACTGGCTAGCCATGTGTTGAAAGCAGAAACTGGACCCCTTTCTGACACCTTACACCAAATGTAACTCCAGATGGATTAAAGACTTAAACATAAGACCTGGCACCATTAAAACCCTAGAGGGAAATCTAGGCAAAACTATCCAGGACATAGGAGTAGGCAAGGACTTCATGAACAAAACACCAAAAGCATTGGCAACAAAAGCCAAAATAGACAAATGGGACCTAATAAAACTCCACAGCTTCTGCACAGCAAAAGAAACAGTCTCTAGTGTGAATCGGCAACCAATAGAATGGGAAAAAATTTTTGCAGTTTACCCATCTGACAAAGGGCTGATATCCAGAATTTACAAGGAACTCAAACAGATTTACAGGAAAAAAACAAACAAGCCCATTCAAAAGTGGGCAAAGGATATGAACAGACATTTTACGAAAGAAGACATATATGAGGCCAACAATCATATGAAAAAATGCTCATCGTCACTGGTCATCAGAGAGATGCAAATCAAAACCACATTGAGATACCATCTCACGCCAGTTAGAATGGCGATCATTAAAAACTCTGGAGACAACAGATGCTGGAGAGGATGTGGAGAAAAAGGAACACTTTTACACTGTTGGTGGGAGTGTAAATTAGTTCAACCATTGTGGAAGACAGTGTGGCGATTCCTCAAGGCCTTAGAAATAGAAATTCCATTTGACCCAGCAATCCCATTACTGGGTATATATCCAAAGGACTATAAATTGTTCTTCTACAAGGACAAATGCACACGAATGTTCATTGCAGCACTGTTTACCATAGCAAAGACCTGGAATCAACCAAAATGCCCATCGATGATAGACTGGATTGGGAAAATGTGGCACATATACACCATGGAATATTATGCAGCAATCAGAAATGATGAGTTCGTGTTGTTTGTAGGGACATGGATGAATCTGAAGAACAACATTCTCAGCAAACTGACACAAGAACAGAAAATGAAACACCACATATTCTCACTCATAGGCGGGTGATGAAAAATGGGAACACATGGACACAGAGAGGGGAGTACTAAACACTGGGGTCTGTAGGGGCAAAAAGGGGAGGGCCAGTGGGAGGGGGAGGTGGGGAGGGATTGCCTGGGGAGAAATGCGAAATGTGGGTGAAGGGGAGAAAGCAAACAAAGCACACTGCCATGTGTGTACCTATGCAACTGTATTGCATGCTCTGCACATGTACCCCAAAACCTAAAATGCAATAAAATAAATAAATAAATAAATACATAAATAAACAAATAAATCACCAGGCATGGTTTCTCAGGCCTGTCATTTCCCAGCGCTTTGGGAGGCTGGAGCGGGTGAATAGCCTGAGGTCAGAACATGGAGACCAGCCTGGCCAACGGGGTGAAATACACAAATTAGCTGGGCGTGGTTGCATGGGCCTTTAGTCCCAGCTACTTGGGAGGCTGCGGCAGGAGAATCACTTGAGACCAGGA